GAGCAAGCATTGATTCCTGTTAAAAACAGGCACATTCATTCCTATCCATTCAATGGCTGCTGAAGTAGTGCCTGGTTGACTCTTTCCCAGGAAGATAGTTGCAAAAGATTTATTCCTCCTAGAGAATGCAGAGTATAGAACTCTGGAATATGAGGCATTACTTCCGTGATTGTAATCCTGGTAGAAAAATACATCGTAAAAAAGACCAGGTGGGGAGAAAAAGCACGTCTTCGCTAGCAATTATCAATACCCATTTCCTTTCCAAAGATACGTTGACTAAGATGAGATCAGAAATACCCATCGAGATGGAAATCAATCGGTAGAACAAGCTTGCGACTCCGGAGCTTCTTCATCTTGGTACAGCGTTTATATACAAATTCAGTTTCTAGTTATCATCCAACTCACTCCTCGGGAAAACGTTCGGGATGATCCAATATTCTCAGGAAACCAGCGAAAGAAAATACAAGAACTACGAGACTTTCCGTAGCGTGTTCAATCCTGAAACGACCTTCCGACACAGAACCAGAGCGACTTTTTTCCAAGCACGCCAGACAAGTTTTTCTTCCATCCCCGTCGTTAACGGAGAAAGAATTCGCTTTCGGAGAATTGTTTAAACGCCTCAATATGTTATCAAAACACTGAACAGCAAACGCCTCCGACATCACCGTCCTCGCAGCAGGAGCTGCCCGGGCCTTTGTCACCCACCCCCCTTCCTTTATCCATACCACTTGCCGACCTCGGTCGGCCTCTCAACTCAAGAGCACGGAGAAAATACGGGATACAAAGTGAAGCTTAGACGCTACCCTCGAAGCCAGCAATCCCACAAACACATACGCACACCCGTAACAATGACCCCCTTCGCGTTTCATTTCTACTAACCAGGCCCCTGGGAGTCGAAAGAGGCCTTGAAAGCGCCTCAGCTCCGTTAATTTCCCGCGGGAAAGAAGAGCAAAACCCCGCGCTTGCTTTAACAGGTCATGAGGCAAAACGCCGCAGCCTCTCCCCTCTGCTCTCGGGCGCGCCAACCTCTCCGGGCGTCCGTCAGGAAACCGGCTGCGGGCGTCTTGCCCTCTCCAAAAATACGGTGCGCCCCCCGCTTCGACCTCCCGAAGCGAGAAAAGACCGATCCGCAATCTACAAAATGGCAGCCGCGCTTCCGCTCCAGCTCCCCGCGTCCCACCTCAGCAAAGCCATTGAGCGCGACTTTCTGTGCGCAGGCTCGGAGGGATACTTTAAACGCATGCGCCATGTCCCGGAAGTTCAAAGTTTGGTCAGAAATTCGATTTGCCTAGTCCAGGGGTAAGGCAACCTTGGCTCTTTTATGACTCGTGGACTTCAACTCCCAGAATTCCTGAGCCAGCTATGCTGGCTCAGGAATTCTGGGAGTTGAAGTCCACGAGTCATAAAAGAGCCACGGTTGCCTACCCCTGGCCACTAGTCGTTTTCGATGGCAATTTTTTTACCTGCAAAAAACCGAAAGTTTTGTAAAGGGAATAGAAAGGTAGGGAGGATTGAAAGATTGCAACTTTTGTTAGCAATCCGGTGGCATGTAGAATAGCGTTTTGCACGGGACTCGAAAATTTAGCATAATATACAGATTAACTCCATTTGGCCTCCTAGGGTTTTCTTAAATACAACTAAGTTTTTTTTTTAAAAAAAATGAGCTATTTCTACAAGTAATGTGTAACAATGTGTATAATGCCATCATCATGAAAACCAAAGAGCTTTGATTTCAAATAGGTTTATGATTTCATGTGATTGATTTTTATCTCCGTTTTAATGCAGTGCTCTTCTCTGTGTTTGAATGTGAAAAAAATAATTTTGTTGATATTTTTGAGGTTAGATTTGAATAGTATTGTGATATAGATCAGAGGTCCCCAACCTTTTGGGCACCAAGGACCCGTTCCATGGAGAAAGGTTTTTCTACTGAATGGAGAGAGTGTAGTTTTGTGTACTGCCTGCATCCCACAGATGGGACTTTGCTTGTTTGTGCGGACCGGTTGCTGGCAAGCCGCAGCCCAGTACTGGTCCAGAGACTGGGGGTTGGGGACCCCTGATATAGATTGATAATGGTGGTGGTGATGTTATCCATTCGTATCTGATTCTTGACAATTCTGTGGGCCAGGTTTCTCCATGGAAGATGTGTTCCAATGGATGTGTTCCAATCACCATTAAAAAAGACAAAACTTTTCCAATCTTCTGTACATACAAATGTCTAACATCCAAAGTGATGCAGCAATCAATCATGCTGTTTCAAAACCTACAGTACAAATAGTCCTTGACTTATGTTAACAGTTCGGAACATAATTGCTAAACAATGTGCTTCCTAAGCAAGTCACACCCCATTTTTCTAACCTTTTCTGACCAGGTTGTTATGCAAATCACTGAAATGGTTAAGTGAATCATGCTGTCATTAAACAACCCAGCTTTCTCCATTTACTTTACTTATCAAAAGCTGACTGAGAAGGTTAGAAATGGCAATCATGTGACCGTGGGATGCTGCAACCATGATAAATACATACCAGTTGCCAAATGCCCCAGATGTGACTATGGCAAGGATGCAACAATTGAAAATGCAAAGAACAGTCATAAATCATTTTTTCAATGCCAGTGTAACTTCAAACGATTATGAAATGAATAGGGTGTGCGAGACAATATTCCAGGGGATGCGAAAACTTGGGTTTAGAAGTTTCAAAATTATAGTGTATATGCATAATTCATTATTTCAAACTGTTGTAAGGGGTGCGAGAATATATCAGAAGAGTTCTATTGGTGCGGGGTATAGAAAAGGTTGGGAGCTGCTGCTGTATAGGAATAGGAAATTCAATGCATCTGGAGGTTTCAGTATCCAGGTGGGCAGTTATGTTCTCCAGCTGGTTATAAAATAATTTTATATTTAAATTTATTTATAATATTACAATAAGCACTTTTATAATTTTTAAAATACATTTTTTTAAAAATATGTGTTGCTTCAACAAATCGATTTTGATTTTGCCGGTTGTAGTAGCCTAAGAAATCGATTCAAAATCATTACCTGCAAAATGTGTTACTGCAAAACACTGCAAAGTACATAAGTAAGTACATAATCCCTTACATAGAAGTATTTAAAATTACTGGAAATTGCTCAGAAATTATTACACGAAAAAAGCTGTGAAAATGAAAACTAAATTTAATAAAATTTTGTAACCATCCATTTAATCATATAATGATGTCCTAATACTTACCATCATCTGTATAAGTGATGTTGACAATGTTTTTTTCTATTTGAGATCTCATAGGTAATAAAGCAAACATTATATGCACCATACTCTCAATTAGTGTTTTTTAAATGCAATATTTTGTTTTAATTCAACAAAAATAACATGGGGGGAAGAAGTGCAGATTATGATTTAATTTTCATGGACTGCTATTCACTCATCAAATGACTGAAATGTAATCTTCAATTGCAAGGATTCCATTTAAAATTGAACCTCATCCATCTTTCGTTGAATGAGCCGCAGGACCTCTCTACTTTGCGGGATATAGAGATGGAGAAAGTGATCCGGTATACTCTTGAGGTTTTTTTAACCCTCTTGGCGTTCCGTAGTTCGAGTTTCAAACCCGCCTTTCCAACCAGGGAACTCTCGATGGGGGGGGCGGGGTCGAGGCTTGAGTAGCCATGGCGACGCTGCGGCGATGGCTTGCCGCGGCGCTGGTGATGCTCCCCTTGAGCTCGGGCCGCGGCTTTTTCCTCCCCTTGCACGACCCACAGAGCTGCGCTGGGACTCAGTACTTCGATATCGCCAGCTTGGACTGCCGGAGTTGTGGGGAGTTCCAGAAGCAAAACGCTCAGGGTGAGACTACCTAAGGTTCAACCGGATGGAAGATGGAGCTATTTAAAAGGTTCATTCAGACGTTGCGCTGAATTCAGTAAACCTTCTTGAACATAGTGCATGTAGTGCACTGAATTCAGTGGACCTTCTTGAACATAGTGCATGTAGAATTGCATGTTCATTTATTTCCCCCCGAAAAGCAGATACTTAATAGTTGTGCTTGATTATTTACCATCTTCTGGTCATTATGTAACTAATGGTCAGATCCGGAAGAATAGCTGCTGCTCGTCATTGGATCGCCTCCAGGGAAAAGAATACATATAACCACAGGGATAAATTAAGAAAGATGGTGAAATTGCTTTAAAGTGTGTTTATTAAGAAGCAAATTATTCCTTAAATGGACAAATCCCCGCATAATATGAACAGCAAGAATACTAAATGCTGATATTATTGGGGAAATGCCAACTATTATGCCATTCTAGTACATAGAGAACAATGAGAAGTAAGTGAAAGTTTCATTATCTAGGTAGAACCATCTTGGCTCACTTTCTCTCTGGATGGTGGCCAGGCATCCTTATTTAGGTCTGGAGATTGCAGATTGGTGGGTGGAAACATTACATGTATATATTTACATTCACACATTCTTACATTTAAGCCCTGTCTTCCATTAATCTTGAGCATTATAGTTGAAAGAGAAAGTAAACTAACTTCTCCCAACTGCTATAAACTGTAGGTTCTTTCCATGGAAAATAAAGAAGGCATCAAGGGTATAAGAGAAGAAACTTAATCCTCTTTCCATCTATTGAGTCATCTCTCTATAAATGGATTCCCACTAGTAGAGAAGGACAATGGAGACCCACTAAAGGCACCTTGCTAAGAACATTTCAAAATCTGTCAGATTTTTTGGGATCTCAAGATTGCCTCTTTTTTCAGGTTTGACTCTAGTATTGGAACCTTGCTAGAGAATACCTACCGTCAAACCAAAATTCAAGAAAATTCTACCAGGAAACATGAAGATTACTTTAGAAAAATGATTCCAATTTATTTGTTTATATAGTCATCCACCTCAACAAACATAAAATATTTAAAACCTTAAAAACTTTTAAAGGCAACATATGTAGAGAAATTTAAGAGATCTCTTTCAGTCATATCCTTATGAAATATTTTAATTTGAAGTAGATAATACAAGAGATTGTGTATTTTTCAGGTACATCATGTGATTGTCTTCCAGGATTCAAGAAAGTTTTTGATAAAGGTGGAACATCTATTATATGTGAAAAATGTCCAGAAACTATGGTAAAATCAACCTAAAATATTTCTATTAGAAAAAGTAGGTAGATTAACTTTGTTTTTTTCTACACTATAAGCTTTAAAGTGAGTTTTAAATACTTTTAATCTTTCATTTAGAGTGGAGTTACTCAAGATGGATGGGACTGCATTACTTGTCCCAGTGGCTTAACTACAGAAGGAAAATGTATATGCGCTAATAATGAGATTTTAGGTAAGAATTTTATAACATTATTTTATGTTTGTTTATTTTTCCAGGCAAATCTATGTAGAAAGTTGTATGTGAGATATACTTTAACATTTTAGTTCAGTGAACGGATGAAAAATTGTAAAGTTTTATTTATTCCTGGAACAAAATGGATATAATTATGTATTTCAATTTGTGTTTTAAAAAATAAAACAATTCATATGTGTTTTTTCAGATCCACTATTCCAAATAATAACTGGATGTAAATTTTATGGCTATTTTCTTACTTCGCTAAAATGAAAATCTCATTTAGAAATCACTGATAGTTTTACAGCAAAGCAAACCTGCTGTGTTATATAAGCTGTCAATGTCTTTGATTTAGTAGTTTTCAGGATCTTCTTCTGACCTCTTTTATTTTCCCAAATTGAAAATAAAATATTTTCTCTGAAAATATGTCCTTCTTCTGAATTTACACTTTTGTTGCAAGTTAGATTATGATGAAAGTTGCAACATAGAATAGTGTTGAGAGACTTACAACATAGCTTTTGTTGTTACATAATTAAATATAAAGTTTCCTTTTAAAAACATGTTAGCTGATTTTTCCCCTTAAAATAACTGGTAGTAATAAATGATCAAGCACTTCCATATTTACAAAAAGTTATTTTTTCATTATTCAGTGTAATTTCTGGAAAGATCATGACCAGGATTTCCAAATTGGGAGTCATGTATTAAGCAATGTCAACTGAATTTTCTGGATTTGCTCTTTTTAAATATACATTTTAAATATTCATGCATTACCCATTATATTTAAGTACACTGTGGTATCTATACTAAGATTATTACTAATAGTCTTGTAATTTTTTTAAGTGGAAAGAAACATTAATGGTTCACTACTGAAAGCGGCATTATGTGTTCAGTGTGATGGAAAGGAACAGTCGTTTTCAATTGCGAATGCATTAAATAACATGTAAGTATATTATTTATATAAGATGTATATTGGATTAGGAAACAACATTTGCCTTTCTTATTTATTCTCATTAAATTTGCACAATTGAAAAAACTAATTGATGTTTGCCAAATGTAAAGATTTCAAAGTGTTTCCGCTTTTAAAAATGTATTGGGCTGATTCAAGAATAACACTTTTACCTTCCCTCTCCCCTTTCATTCAATTGTGTCCTCCTTTGAAGGCAATTCTCATTATTTTGCTAAAAGGGAGAAAAGTCAGTGAAAACTTGTTCTATTTTCAGGCTGACTTTTCAACACTGATTTAACTCTAGTGCAATACGCAGCTTTACCATGATACCATGACACTGAGAGATATTGTATCCATTCATGTTGCTTATTAACCTAAGAACCATTGTATCCTTTATTTAAGGTTATTTAGTGTTAAACTCTATGTACATTCTTCACATTTCATTGTCTTTTGTAGGTGCAAAAGATGTGAACCAACGTTCATCAGCGTTAACAAATCCTGTAGCTGTTCTGAGCCAAATATTTTAGTAAGTGTAACAAATAGCAGATGATAAAAACAGCTGCTTTCAGTGTTATTTGGGCACCAAGGAGGGGTATAAATTTAATAAGTAATCATAGTTCATTGTACTGAATATGGGGAAGCTTGTTCACATAAGTTGCCTGCATCTACTTTTCACCGGTTCTCCTAAAATCATGTGGAGGAACCATTGTATCTTTCAGGTCCAGACCATTTGTAGTGCAGCAACCCTACTGCAGCCTCCTGCTACTTCGTATGACACTCCCAATTTGTTGGAGTTTTTACAGGACATACCTGGGACTGCGGTAGAAGGGATAGGAGTTAGGGTTTTGCAAGTCTAAATCTGAATTAGACTGCTGTACTAAATCTAGATATCAGTGGAATGTTCACTAAAATGAGACATACATGTCCTCCCAAATTCTTTCCTCAGCTTTGCATGGGAGATAGGAAAGGACACTCAAATAAATGGTGAATTACTGAAATTCAAGTGGCTTGTTTTCTGAACTGCATCTATTGTTGGATCTTCAGTGTAAAAGAAACTTTCTTATTTTCTATAGGTTAAGACCTCTACCTTTAAAATAGATAAATGTTCATGACAAGATTTATTGATTTTCAATTTCAGACAGGAAGTTTATGTTTTACAAGCACTGGAAATTTCCCTCCAAAGGGAATTACAACTGTTCGATTTGGAAAGCTAGTAAGTTATAGTCACATTCTTATATGATTTACAAAAGCATTGCACTCAGACGTAAAACAACTGTGGACTTTAGGCTCCTAAAACTACATAAATACATCATTTTTACCCATAGCATATTAACATAAAAGCTAAGTTTAATATGCAGTAGAACCATAGACACAAGAGTCAAAAGAAGCTACTTGAACATGTAATCCAATTTAGTGCAGAAATCTGTGTGAAAACATCAGTGTCATATAACTTTCCAGCCTCCATTTGATGCATCTAGTGAATGAAAATACACCATTAGATTTGATTTTACTAATGAATTTTCTTACCATTAAGTAAGAAACCTGATACTGTAAGATTTCCTCTAACGTTCATTCGGAAGCTGTCTTCCTATAAATCTGTATTCAAAGTCTTGACAGCCTTTCAAGTATTTGAGAAGTGCTATTAAATTTAATTTTGGTTACTATCAAGTCAAGTGTTGCTGATCCTTTGAAGGAAAAAGTCATTAGAGTGCAGTCTTTCCTATACTTGGGATTGACTTAAGAGCAGATGTTTGTAGAATTATACTAAGATATCTTTAACATGCATGCAAATTCATTAGAGAAGTCAACGATGCTAGGAATGGTTAGTGGAACAAGAAGAAGGGGCAAGCAAAGAACATGCTAGCTTGATAACATCAAGGCTGATATAAAGATTAATATTCAACAGTTGAAAGAAGCTGTGCTTGACAGGGCAGCAGTGAGAGCACTTGCCTATAAAGTCACTAAAAATTGGGTATGACTGAATGGTTAAAACAACAACAAACCTGTAACAATTTGAACCATTCCATTTCTAGGGCATCACATTGAGATCGGAATGGTTTTATAAAAATCTGCAAGCATCAGCAGCTGCTTGCTGGGTATGTATTAATTTTCTTTTAGAACAAAATTATTGATAAACATTTCTAATCCATGTAATTTATACAGCTCTGAAGTTATAGTAGCAGTTGGGACCAACATTTCCATTGCTGATCAATGCAGTCATAAAGTGTAATGTCACATCCCAGCATCTCTGTGGTCATGTGATCACAGTCTGAGCTCTTGGTAACAGGCTCACACTTAGGACCAGATAAAGGGCTCTGTGGTCATATGGTAGCCATTTGCAACCTTCCATGACAACTTCCCCAGAAAGTCAGTGGGGAAGCCAGCACAAACGGGCACAAGTTGCTGAGCTAAGTCATCTTCACAAATGCACCCTGTCTCAGGGCTTTTAGCTCACATTGCCTTGGCCACTCACACAGCCTGTGTACCCTCCATGCCTGCTGTGCACCGCTGTGTACTCCCCCCAAATCTTGTCGGACCTCTCTCATGCACCCTCTCCAAATCTCATCACACCTCCCTTGCACCCACATGCACCCCATTCTACCCTACCCTCTTACCTCTTACCTACCTACTAACTTGCTTACAAGCCACCTAGGACTTGCAGCTTCTTGCTAGCTTCCCCACTGATTTGGTTGTGATAAGCCAGCAGAAAGATGCCTTGCCTCAGAACCATTGGATTCAGTTAATGATGGCAACTGGAATGATTTAGGGCAATGATGGCGAACCTATGGCACGCGTGGGCACGCGCGCCATGCTCCAGAGATGGCAACCGTCCCTCTTCAACCAGCCGCCCGCTAACTCTCCGAGGTCCCATGTGGCTGGATGCATCCCAGCACAGCTGGTTCCCCCCCCCCCGTCCCATCCCTCCTGGTCTTGCATGCTCTCCTTTTCCCACTGCATCGCCTCCTCAGCTTTCGGCAGGCCGTCCAGCTCAAAGGCAGCTTCTCTGAACTGCTGGTGGTGGGCTGCGGAGGCCCAGAGTGCACCAGTTGAGGGGCCGGCAGGCTGTGGCTGCTGACGGACACTGTCGGCCCCCATGCGGTCCTGGCCTCTGTGTGCGGGGGCCAATGGTGTCAGGCAGCAGCTTCCACGGCCTCTGCCTCACCTTGCCCTGCAACAATGGCACCCCCGACCCGGCCTGCCTTGCCTCGCCTCACCCTGCAGGACAAGCGTCCTGCCCACTGCCCCACCTGCCAGAGACCCTTGGATCTCCCCCAACCCTGCCCGGCCCCCACAGGCGTTCCTCCCTACGAGCAACATCGAGGTGACCACGCCCACCTTGGCCACACCCACCCAGTCTGCCATGACCACCACAGCCACGCCCACCCAGTGGGCCATGCCCACTTGGCACCCGGCGATAAATAAGTGGGTTTTGGGTTGCAGTTTGGGCACTCGGTCTCTAAAAGGTTCGCCATTACTGATTTAGGGATTGCCATCACTAAACAACGCAGTCACGCTTTAGGGCCACATTGCTTAGCGATAGAAATTCTATTATTGATTGCATTGTAAGTCAAGGACTAACTGTATGGAGTATAATGTTAGAAAACAACCCATGTATTTTCTTTTGTTCAGAGGAGGGGGGGAACATTTTTTTTTCTTTTTTAATTTTTTTTGTTCTTTTATATAATTTTGCACCCTGTTCATAATGGATGGCTTATTTTCTTTCAGCTATATTCCAATCTTACATCTTGCCAAGCCTTGGGAAATATGTGTGTTATGAACATGAATAGTTTGAGCTCTGCCACCCCGGATGCATGTGGTTTGTTTCAGTTTGTGTTCGCAAATACGGTTGGACTTGGTACTGTTCATTCAATATCATTTTGGTATGTTGTCTTTGTCAGTCATTCCTTTGAATTATACGCTATATGCTTTTGCCATAGGTAGGCTGCAGTGAACACTATATAATTGTTTGCAGGAGACAGTCTCTTCCATGGCTATTCTATGGTGACCAACCAGGCTTAGCATCCCAGGTTCTTGATGGAACGGAGTTTCCTACCAGCTTCACTTTTAAAGAAAAAGACGAGGTAGGTTCCCTGCAGTAAAAACTCTCTTTTTTCCTCAATCTAGACTTGTCCCTGATGTGATTTTGTAGTGATTAATTTACCCAGGTGACTATTTTAATGTATTAGTTCATTTCTTGAGGATAGGCTGCTTTTGAATATGTATCTTAAAAATAGAATATGAAAATCTATGTTACAGTTATATTGGGAGTTTTTCATATAATTTGAAATGACCAAACTGTTTTTATTTTCAGGTTTCCATTATTTGAAGGGGATGGGAAATTAGCACTGTGCTGGATCAAAACAGCTTATTTATTAGGATTTAATTTTATATAAACTAATTTCATTTTCTTCACAGACATATGTAAGCTTTTCTGTTGGGGTTTGACTTTTTTTCTTGAAAACAAAAACATTTTAGGCAGGAGAGCGTTTGCAGGCATATTTATGGTAGGCAGACATTAATTTTTAATATGTATAATGCATATAATCATGCATTTAATTAAGATCTATCTCATAGCTTCAGGTCTACATTGGTACATTGTAACACTTCTTTGTATTAAAAATTATGGTCATTATTCTTTTTCATATTTTTAGAATAAGGAAATAACTTTTACCTCTCCAAGATAATGTTTTCATATGGTGGGCTACACAGTAAGTGGAGTGGTATAGGGATTTACATTTAGTACTTAATTCTTATGATAGTTTTTCTTATACAGTTGTACATTTGCAACATGAAATATTAATATTAATCTGAATTTCTTTTTGATCTTGCATAAAAGATATGCCTAAGATGCAAGAATCTAGATCTTGAAAGCACCTATTTTTTTTTACAGGATGTACAATTAAATTTTATTGCAGCTTCATACGATGCAATGGGAAATTTTCTGAAATGGCAACATTTAGAAGACGGTCTTTTACAGGTAAGGAAAGAGCACACATCGCCTTGTATTAAATTGGGTTAGGAATACAGGATCAGATTTAGTCAAAACTGTCTATTGAAATCTAGTAGAACAAATTTATCAGAAAAGGTTTTGAATAAATTTAAACAGGGCTAGATGTAGTGTTTCTTCCTTTCCCATCACCACCACTGCATACTTTGCAGGAACTCAAGAAGATATGCCAGTCCTTCAAAGCAGATACGGGGGTATGCAGAAGGTGGGATGAGGAAGAATCTATTTGAATCACAGAAGCAGTTCCATGGAGAAAATGATATCATTGGTGCATTTCTAATTATGAATCCACATGCTTGCATTTTGAGTCCCATCAACATAGTTTCAAACTATAAAGTGTGGTGGCAAAACATTCTATAGCCTTACCATCTAAAATCAATTCTAGGAAAACGTACAGGTAGTCCTCAACCTATGACTACAATTAGGACCAGAACTTCTGTCACTCATCATTAAGTTGCATCTGATTTTAAGATCGTTTTGCTGTGGTCATTAAGCCAAGCACATGGTGGTTAACTAAATTTGGCTTTCCCCATTGACCTTGCTTGTCAGAAGGCCCCTGAGAAGGCCGCAAATGGCCATCATGTGACCCCAGGGTGCCGAAACCATCAGAAATACATACCTGTTGCCAAGCCTTGAATTTTGATCATGTGACTATAGGAAATGCTGTGGCGTTAAGGGCTGTGGGAACCAGTCAAAAGTCACTTTTTCAGCACTGTCATAACTTTAAACAGTTATTAAACAAATGGTTTTAAGTTGAGGATTACCTGTAATGGTATGTGGAAATGACCTTGGGAGACCAAGAGGAAGAGCTGCAGAGTGGGCAACCATCATGTTAAAGATATCTCAGAAGGAGGAGGGCATAGAAAGCAATACAGACGGGACCCTCTCTAGTTTTCCAGAGAGTAAAAAGGAGAAGAGGAGAGAAATTCCTTAAAACTGTTAATGTCATCTTAGAAAAAAGATAGTGTTGATATCCCTGGTACAGTTTAAATTTATGATGAGCCCCACAAAAGATATTTATGGCCCAAATACACATTTCTGACAGCCACACGCATGCAATCATGTAACTGCATTTTGGGCATTTGGCAACTGGTCTACATTTAAGGTTTACTTGTTTGCTCTATACTTCAGAGCAAACAATCAGTTCACTTTGCAACTCTATGTCTGTGTAACAGCTGTTGGAAAAGAAGTTCATAAAATCGGGGGCAGTCACATGATGATCCCCTCGGTGCCTGTCATGACTTTTCACCAGGCTCACTTACAGTCATAAGTCAAAGGCTACCTGTAGCACTTTATGTCAATTAAAAATCCGAAGTGACAAGACTGCATTTTGTCTTCATGTAAACATAACTCCTCTATCTTCTTTTTTTTTTAAAGGAATGAGTGTAACATTTATTTAAAAATCTGAGAATATTGTAATGAAGAATGCTAATTTTATTTTATTTTAAAAAACAGCTTTGTCCAGACACATTAATGAGACTCAATGCTGCTTATAGGTTTGGAACAACTTACCAACAAAAGGTGAGCATAGTTGTTTTTTTTTAAGATTCATAATATCTACATTATTTAATGCTAGAGAAGAAAGTGAATATCCAATTATTGTGCTTTTTCTAGTGTAAAGCTCCATGCTCTCATATGGAGTGACGGAAATAAGATTATTCTGGGTTGTCACAGTATGAACACAGTTGAAAATAGTTTGGTATTTATACGGTATTTGGAGATCACGTAATTTTAACTAAGAAGTGGTAATGTACTGCATATTTTGCAGTTCAGAATTTGGTGTTATTGTTGATTTTTAAGCCATGCCTGAACTCCAAATATAGAAAATAAAAGGGCTTTTTAGAATCAGCAGGTCATGAAAAATCAGTACTACTTGAAAGTGCACACAAAAATACCATCAACAATTCATTCAGTGTTAAATTTGAGGGTTGTCCTATTCATTTTTTTT